TCCCAGAAAGTAGTCTTAAACAAACAAGCCACCAGTCTACTGTGTCTTTGAGAAGTCTGATTCTCCTAATTTGCTCACACACATACTGTTTGGGAAACAGGAAGCCCGTGACTCCTCCTTTGTTGGGAGGTTGTAAGGTTCACGGCAGCTATATGAACACTGGTACTGAAAATACCTAGTATTGGGGTGCCTGGGTGGCTCAGTCAGTTAAGCATCTCCTTCTCTCAGGTCATGATTGGGATCGAGCCCTACATCGGGCTCTCTGCTCGGCAGGGAGTCTGCTTCTCCCTCTGCCTTTTCCCTTGGCTTGTGCTCTCTCTCGCTTTCTCTCTCTCAAATAAAAAAAAAAGATTTTATTTATTTATTTGAGAGAGAGAGAGTGAGCACAAGCAGAGGAGTGGCAGAGGGAGAAGCAGACTCCCTGCCGAGCAGGGAGCCCGATGTGGGATTCGATCCCAGGACCCTGGGATCATGACCTGAGCCGAAGGCAGACGCTTAACCAACTGAGCCACCCAGGCACCCCTAAATAAATAAAATCTTTTTAAAAAATTGTTTAAAAAATGAAAGAGCTAAATCCTCAAATACAGCAGTACGTCAATAGATAATTTTAAAACTGCTCTATCAAGAAAAGGCAGTGTAATCCTATTATTTTGTAAAGTGGTGGTAACTACCAGAAGAGTATGAGTTTCTGCATAATGATGTTGAGAAAAGCAGGAATTTTTTATTTTCCTTAAAGATAGGTCCCATGGGGCGCCTGGGTGGCTCAGTCGTTAAGCGTCTGCCTTCGGCTCAGGTCATGATCCCAGTGTCCTGGGATCGAGTCCCGCATCGGGCTCCCTGCTCGGCGGGAGGCCTGCTTCTCACTCTCCCACTCCCCCTGCTTGTGTTCCTGCTCTCGCTGTCTCTCTCTGTCAAATAAATAAATAAAATCTTAAAAAAAAAAAAAAAAAAAAAAGATAGGTCCCATGCCTCTCATTAAATTTGTAAGAAAATAAAACAAGAAAAAAGGATTTTGATAATTATTTTAAAAATAGATCCCACTAGGGGTGCCTGGGTGGCTCAGTCGTTAAGTGTCTGCCCTTGGCTCAGGTCATGATCCCAGGGTCCTGGGGTGAAGCCCCACGTTGGGCTCCCTGCTCTGCGAGTAGCCTGCTTCTCCGTCTGCCCCTCCCCCCCGCTCGTTCTCTCTCTCTCTCTCTCTCTAATAAATAAAATAAAAAATAAATATATATATATATAAATAAATATTTCCATGGGGCATTTGAATAAGATTATGTACAAAGACTGTGCTGACTCAGACCTTTTCTGGAGTATCTACTTAATTTGGCCATGGGCTTTTCCACTTCCACGGAACATTCCTCTCTTGGGCGTGTGCCGGTCCTTTCCTGGTTGTATTCCTGCATCTCTGCCTTTATTTGTCTGTCCCCTCTCTCCTCCTGCATTCACAAAGGTATTCTTCAGGAGGGCTTCCTTGGGGACCTCATATCTTTTCATTCCCTCTCCTTGAGGGACTGTCACCCACTGCCTTTAATTGTCACCTCTGTGCTGATGGTAAGAATAGCTGACAACACAGGTGATCACGATGGGCCGTGCCTGGCACCGAACTAAACTCTGAGGCAGTAGACACTGCTAACGTCCCATTTTTATGGAAATGAGGAAGAACAACTGAGGCTTGGTGGTGGGGTGGGAGGAGGGAGGTTGAAGTACCATGCCACCCGAAGTCACATAGCTGCTAAGGGGCACAACCGGGATTCAAACCTGGCCAGTCCACCTCAGAGCCTCCACTGGTAACTGATGCCTTTCTGTACTTCATGCAGTTCTCTATATTCTCTCGCCTGGACGCCCTTCACAAGGGGCCAGGGCCCTGTCCTCCAGACCGCCCCTCAAAGCCAGAATGCTGAGCACTGGTCTGCTACCATACTACCCTGAACATGCCCATTCTCATCAGAATGTTGACCACTAGACCCCAGAGAATATTCCCTGACATGTTTACACTGGTTGTTGAGCCATGAAAGTACTTTCAAATCCTGCTGCCTGGCGCCTTGTCTCCTCCCCAGGACGCACCCCCTCCCACAACCTCCCCATACCCGCCAATCCTGGCATGGTGTGGGGGTGGGGGGGCAAGGGCTGGGGGGAAGGCTTCAGGATGCTGCTGGCCGTGGTCCTCACCATTGCTACCCCTGTGGTTAACTACTGTTAAAATTGCCTCTTTCCTCTCCCTCCTCCCCCTCCGTCTCTCCCCACAAACCAGTTCCTCCTCCTGACTTCCTTATTTCTGGGGCCCTTACCTCATTCCCCAGTTCACATTACAGGGAGCCTCCTCTGAGCCCTCCTTTCCTCTCTAGTGTTCACCTTCAACTGGTTGCCTTGCCCTGTGGCTTTGACCTCCTCTGCCCTCTGCCAGTCCTCCCTGCTCTCCTCCTTTCCTCTCCCTATGGCCTCCATGCTGGAACAGACCCCTACTCCTGGCCCAGTTTCCTTGGCCTCTGCTGGACTCCCCTTCCTCCTCCACAAACTTGAGGCCAAAGCCTGCCCTCCCTACCTTGCTTCTGCATGGGAATATACCTTCTAACCAAGGTGGTGCCTTACCCTGCAAATGGCACCTCAAGTAGAAATCCTCATATAGAGGGGCGCCTGGGTGGCTCAGTCAGTTAAGCGTCTGACTTTGGCTCAGGTCATGATCCCAGGGTCCTGGGATCAAGCCCTGATTTGGGCTCCCCGCTGGGTGGGGAGTCTGCTTCTCCCTCTCCCACTACCCCTCCCCCTGCTCATGCTCTTTCTCTCTCAAATGAATAAATAAAATCTTAAAAAAAAAGAAAGAAATCCTTATACAGAAAAGGTATCTCATAACTATTTAATAAATTCAGTCGACTGGTACCCACCTGTGTTTCCAAAGTTTTCTACCATATCCAATCACAACCTTCTTGCCCTTGAAACTTGAAATACGAAACACGAAAGCTATTCCCCTGTGCTAACCACAGCCTTGCCTCCCCTACCCCCTGAGTGGGTGAGGCATCAGACCTACTGCTGAGGTCTCCAGCAGGTTCCTTTCTGCCCCTTTGCCCCCAAGCCTGGATGACTGTCCCGTCTGCCTGATTCCTGAGCATTCATATGCAAGGCACCATGGCAGCGCTGGGTACACCCAGTGCCTACCCTCCCTGAGCTCCTGATTGGAGCTGCAGGAGAAATGATGGGTCAAATGAGGACCCAGCGTCTACCTCTGGTGGTACCAAAGGAGCCATGCAGAGAGCGGTGCTGGGAGAATCTCGCTGAGCACCAGCCTCATCAAGACATTCACGGAGCCTTTGGTCCATGCAGAGTCCTGCTCCACTATTTCACCGCCCCAGCAGCGTGGGAATGTTGCTTAACCTCTCTGCCACACAGTTTTCTCATCTGTAAAATGATAGTAAGCAAGCTACCTCATACGGTAGTTGTGAGGTTTAAATGAGTAGTGCGTGTAAAGTATTTAGAACAGTGTTAGTTGGGGCACCCGGGTGGCTCAGTCGCTTGATTAAGCATCTGACTCTTGATTTCGGCTCAGGTCATGACCTCAGGGTCATGATCTCAGGGTCTTGAGACTGAACCCCCCCACTGGGGGTTCAGCTCCCAGCGCAGCGTGGAGTCTGCATGAGATTCTTTCCCTCTTCCCCTCCCCAAGGGAGCACTCTCTCTCTTTCTCTCTCTCTCAAATCTTTTTTTTAAAAGATTTTATTTGTTTGTCAGAGAGAGAGTACAAGCAGGGGGAGCGGCAGACAGAGGGAGAAGCAGGCTCCTGCTGAGCAGGGAGCCCGATGTGGGACTTGATCCCAGGACCCTGGGATCATGACCTGAGCTGAAGGCAGACGCTTAATCGATTGAGCCACCCAGGCGCCCCTAAAAAATAAATCATAAAAAAAAAAAAGGACGGTGTTAGTCACAGACTGTGCACAGTAATGTCAGCTATTATAGTTTCTATTATTTGACATAAAGTGTTACAGGAAGTTAGAGATGAAAGATAGCTTTGCAAAATCTCTCTCAGGATCTCAGATACCTTCTGAAAGTATTACACTTTCAGGCCAGAGGGGAAAAAGAGTATAAACAGAAAGTTCTCTCTCCCCTGACCTTCACCTCTAACTTGGAACCCAGAACTGCTCTCTGCCCATGCCCCTACCCACTCCTGCAAGAAGGGGTCAGTGGCTGGGAGCTCTCTGAGGACGGAGGCTGCTGCTCTCACCCTGTCTCGGGCCCTTCGGCTTTACAGACCCACTTACTCAGTCAACAACTCTTAGCTGAGCACACATCCTCCACCAGCTTGTTGGGGGGCAGTAGCCCTGAAAGCCCCAGGGTGCCTGCCCCAAGGTGCTGTGTGCTTGCAGTCCTCCAGTTCAAAACCATAAACTGGCAAACGCTACGAAGGAACAGAATGGGTGATACGTGAGCTAAGCAATAGGGCCTCTTGGGCACAATCAGGAAAGGCTTCCCTGAAGAGGTGACATTTGAGCTGAGATCTGAAAACCGAGTGTCACACTATGAGGCAGGGGGAAGGCGGGTCTCTCTGCCCTAATTTTGCCCACCATGACAATGCCTGCAATGGATCTACAGGTGGGCAGAGCCCCAAGGGAAGCTCAAAAACTTCAGGAAACGGGGCCTCCCAAGGCAGGATCTAACCCGGGTCGGTGAGGCCTCAGCGCCAGACTTCTCCACCCAGCAGCCCACGATGGGGCCGGGGTTGGGACAGACCGTCCGTGTCCGCGGACCTGGAGGACACGGTCCCCGGGTGGTAGTGGGGGTGGGGGCTGCCTGCCGCTGTCAGCCCGCGAGGCTCACCCAGGCTCCCCAGATCCGCGCCTGGCGCAGCCTCGGGGGCACCGGCGCCTCCCCCCGGAGCGGCCGCTCCTCGCCTGGGTCTCGGGATGCTGGGCGGGGAGATGGGGGCCGCGCGCCGCTGGGGCCCGGGGGCAGGGGGCCGGCCAGAGAAGGCACACGGACGCGGGACAGGGCCCCGAGCGGCGCCCACTTACCCAGAAGTTCGCCTTGAACAGTGCGCCCGTCATGGCCGGCGCGCGTCGCTGGGGGCCGAGCAGAGCGGAGCGGCTGGCTGGCGCCGGGTGAGCGGACTGTGGCAGCCCGCGGTCCAGCAGCCCGACTGGGGAGTCGCCCGGCCGCGGGGAGGCCGCGCCGGGTCCTAAACCACGCCCGATAGCGCCCGCCCCGGGCGCACGGCTCCTCCCCGGCCGCCACTCCCGAGTCCAGCGGCCACGCCCACGCCCACGCCCACGCCCACGGACAGCCCCGCGACCTCTGGGACCCTGGAATTGCCCCCTCGTTCAGGAAGCCTTCAAGGATTGCAAGGAACTGGTCCTGCCGCCTTCCCGAATTTGACTCCCTTCCCGCCTACGTGCTCTCTCCTCCCCCGACCAATTCCTCGCGAAGAAATCCAGGCTCGGCGGGGTGGTGGATGGAGCCCCGCGCGATCAGAGGGTGGTCGCGTGGACCGGGTGTCAGCTGCTCAGAGCCTGAAGACGGACAATGCCAGCGGACGCTTCAGCAGGTCCTGTGTACTACCCCACCCGCCTTCGCTACGGATCGGCCCCTGGGCAGGTTTTCGTCTAAAAGTCAAGGAAAGGTCATTGAAACTATTAGCCCTTGACTCTAGGTCCCTTAGTGGGGCCCTTTCAAGGCCTCCAAGAGCTCAGCTCCTCCCCGACCTCCTCCCCTTTCTCAAGACCCAAGACCATTTTCCACCAATCCCACTCCAGTAGGAGTGCAGAGCCCCTTTCCTCTCCATGCACTCTTCCACCCTCAGGACATACATAACGCCAAGACAAGGCAGACCCATCCCTGCTTTGTACCACTGTGGTGCTCTGGGACAAAGTACTGCCCCGACCTACATGCCCTGAGCCAAAACTGTGGCCCAGAGAGGCTGAATGACTTGCCCAAGATTCCAGGGTATTAAATGGGTGAAGAGCTGGGTTAGAGTTCTGCCCTTCTAAACAGGGCCAGGGCCAAAGACAGATGTCACCCCTGGGGCAAATCCACCCTGGGCAAAGAGTAGGTGCTCAAGGAAGGGAAGATGAAGATCAAGGGTACCAAGACTGTGTGCTCATGGCCACCTGCAACCACAGGCCTGGAGAGGTAAGCATTTGCCTCTTGAGTAGGTTCTACCTCTGTCCAGACACAGTGAAAGGGCAATTGCTGGGGTGATTTGAAGGATAGCTAAAAGGTCCTGCCTGGAAATACCACGCCCAGTCCCCCTGTGATGAAATCCCACCAGCAGAGTTATCCACAACTAAGAAGATGAAGTGACTCCAGCCCTGGATCACTCCAAGGGCATGCATCCAGCCATCTGGTTGTTCATCTCTTTGGAAAGCAGTGAGGTTGGGAGGAAGGGAAGCCTGGCAGCACCATCTGGAGGCAGGAGAGGCCATGGTGGGCACCAGGAGAAAGGATAAACTGCAGGAAAGGTAAGAAATAGCATGAACTGAGGGTCCTGCCTTCGGCTCAGGTTGTGATCCCAGGGTCCTGGGATCGTGTGCCTTGGTGGGCTCCCTGCTCAGCGGGGAGTCTGCTTCTCCCTCTACTCCTTCCCCCTGCTCATGATCTCTCTCTCTCACCTCTCTCAAAGTAAATAAATAAAACCTTAAAAAAAAAAAAAATAGCGGGCACCTGGGTAGCTCAGTTGGTTAAGTGTCTGCCTTTGGCTCGGGTCATGATCTCAGGGTGCTGCGATCGAGTCCCGTGTCGGGCTCCCTGCTCAGCAGGGAGCCTGCTTTCTCCCTCTCACTCTGCCTTTCCCATCTGCTTGTTCTCTCAAATAAATAAATAAAAATCTTTTTTAAAAAATAGCATGCGGCGCCTGAGTGGCTCAGATGGTTAAACGTCTGCCTTCAGCTCAGGTCATGATCCCAGGGTCCTGGGATCGAGTCCCGCATCGGGCTCTCTGCTCCTTGGGAGCCTGCTTCTCCCTCTGCCTCTCTCTCTCTCTCTGTCTCTCATGAATAAATTAAAAAAAAAAAAAATAGCATGAACTGGGAAGATGAAAGAAGATGAAGTTAAGGAAGACAGCACCAAGATTTTTCCTGGAAGTTTTTAGTATTTGGGGGCAGATATTTTAGACACAATTCTAATTGTCTAAGTTTTCACTTTTAATCTATATATATTTTTAAGTCTTAGGAAGTCTTCCAAATGCTCACGGTGCATAATGCTTGATTTTCACAGCCCTGGGTCCAAAGATCCCTGACTTTTAACTCTCTTCCACCACCTGGTGGCAGGATTGAAAATTACAAATGCTTGTCCACACTGACGGAAAATACTATGCATTCATTCCTCAATCTTATTAAAGTCATCGTCTGGGCAAGGCGTTGTGAGTAAAAAGACAAGTAAAATGTGTACTACATCTAAGGGTCTACAGCCAATTGGAGAGATTTTACTAACAAAGTTAAATAATACTGCTATAGCAATTTTGAAATAATGACATTAAATGATCAATACCTTTAATTAGATAACCACTGTTAATATTTTGGCATAATTTCTTCCAATAAAACACATTTATTGTACATAAAATTTTAATTCTTGCTCTTTTTTTTAAAAGATTTTATTTATTTGACAGAGAGCACAAGCAGAGGGAGAGAGAGGGAGAAGCAGGCTCCCTGCTGAGCAAGGAGCCCGATGTGGGACTCGATCCCAGGACCTGGGATCATGACCCGGGCGGAAGGCAACCGCTTAACCGACTGAGCCACCCAGGCGCCCCTAATTCTTGCTTTTTATTTATTTATTTATTTATTTATTAGAGAGTGAGCGAGAGAGAAACAGCATGAGAGAGGAGAGGGTCAGAGGGAGAAGCAGGCTCCCCCCTGAGCCAGGAGCCCGATGCGGGACTCGATCCCAGGACCCCGGGATCATGACCTGAGCCGAAGGCAGTCGCCCAACCAACTGAGCCACCCAGGTGCCCTAATTCTTGCTTTTTTAACTTAACAACATTTCATAAGTATCTTCTAAAGTCATTAAATGCACTTTTCCTAACAAAAAGTTTGATAGCACTCAGTGCTGGCTAAATGGACACTGTTGCATGTAGAGCTTGAAAATCTCTGAGAAGAGAAATTTGGTCGTGTCACCAAAATTTAAAATGCACTTATATTTTGACCCAACAATTCCATGTTGAAGACATAATTCCAAGTATATTCTCACATGTGGAAAGTGAAATATGTATAGTTATTCATAGCAGCATGGCTATTCTAGCAAAAGATATGAAACAGCTAAATGTTTATTGATGGAGAATCAGCTCAATAAATTGTGATATATCTTCATAATGAAATAATAGTCAAGCATTAAAAATGAGGAAGTTCTTTGTGTATTGATATAGGACAATCACCAGATATATTAAGTGAAAAAAAAAGATACAAAACAAGCTGCCATTTGAGTAAAGCCAGAGAAGACCGTGCGCGTGTGCACGCACACACACACACACACACTCAATTTCATTTTTTATTTTTTTTTATTTTTTAAAGATTTATTTATTTATTTGAGAGAGCGAGAATGAGAGAGAGAGAGAGTACATGAGAGGGGGGAGGGTTAGAGGGAGAAGCAGGCTCCTCGCCGAGCAGGGAGCCCGATGCGGGACTCGATCCAGGGACTCCAGGATCATGACCTAAGCCGAAGGCAGTCGCTCAACCAACTGAGCCACCCAGGCGCCCCGGTTTTTTAAAATTTATTTATTCATTTGAGAGAGAAAGAGACAGAGCACAGGCAGGGGGAGAGGCAGAGGGAGAGGGAGAAGCAGACTGCCCACTGAGCTGGGAGCCCGAGTGGGGCTTGATTCCAGGACCTGGAGATCATGACCGGAGCCAAAGACATATGCCTAACCATCTGAGCCACCCAGGTGCCCCTTCACACACATATTTTAAAATGGTTCCCTCTAAGGAGGGGATGGGGCTGAGGGGACGAACGTAGGAGGGAGAACTACTTTTCATTTCATGCGCTTTTGGACCTCTGAATTTGTACTATGTGAGTTTATTACAGATCCCCCCCAAAAAAATTAAAAAGAAAACTCTTCAATATTATTTTTAACTTTTGCATAATTTCCCATCAAGTGGATATACCAATGCTTCCTTAGCATTTCCCTAATGCATTTAGAAACACTAGAAACATTACTGTGATAAATAGATTTTACATGAATCTTTGTTAAAATTCCTCATAGTCAAATTACGGTTCAAAGAATATAAACATTTTTAAGGTTATTGGAGTATAGTGCCAAATGCTTTTCCAGAGAAGTTGTATCATTTATACTCTCAGCAGGAGGAAGGGGAGGGTTTCCCCAGAAGCTGGATGGGATAAATGGGTGGGATAAATGGATGGTCAGTGGCCAAACTAACAAATACCCAGTGTAATCACCAGTTTTCCTTTCACACTTTCATGCTATCTGATGTCTACATCCCTCTTCCTCCTTTTCCTCCCACCAACCCTTTCTAACCATTCTTTCTTAAAACACTGCTTTCTTCTCATCTCTCCTCTCCTCACAAAGCTACCAAGTTTCCCTGTTGCCCCTCGGAATGAAGTCCCAAACACCTCTGCCTGACTTTCAAGACCTTCCTGGGTCTGGCTCTACCCTGACCTTTCCGATCTCCTTGCCCAGCTTCCTGCCCTCCCCCCTCTCCCCACCCCGAGCCAGTCAGGCTCTTTCCTGTTCTGCCACCCTGTCTTTGCCCATGCTTAGCAGGCTACCTGGGTCACTCTTCCTCCTGCTGAAGTTCCACCTCGTCACCACTTCCCCAACTTCTCCAGCCCTGGGTGTCTTCTCATTTCTCGAATCTCTAGAACTTGTCATCCCTATCACACAAACTAGCCCTTAATAATGTATTACTTACATCCTAATGTTCCCTACTTTCTGCTCCTCTTGGATCTCTTACCTCCCCAAGAAGACTTCAAACACCTCAAGGTAAGACTGACATTCTCTTGTGTACTCTCATGGATTGGACAAGGATGGATCCAGCCAAGGAATTCAGTAAATTCTCTCTGATCATCAACAGCACTACCAATATTTCTTTCAGTCCCCAGGGTCTGCTCCCTCCATTCCAGAAAGTAGGGGCAAACCTGGTGGGAGTACTGGCCAAGTAGCTAAAACCAGATGGGATCCC